ACAAATGACTCAACTCGCCACTTCTGTGAGTAAATTGGAGTCACAAGGCAAACTACCGGCACAAACCGAAAAGAATCCAAAGCATAGTGCATGTGCCATCACTTTGAGAAACGGCAAAGAATATGAAGGTCCAAAGATGATTGAAGAAGAAGAAGAGATGGAGTTAGAAAAAAGAAGAAGAGAAGTCAAAAACACCTTCAAAGCAAGTTCCCATTGAAGCAAAAGTCACTCCTCCTCCATTTCCCACAAGGTTAAGCAAGTCAAAACGTGAAAGGGAAGACAATGAAATCATGGAGATGTTCAGAAAAGTTGAGGTAAATATTCCTCTTATTGACACCATCAAACAAGTCCCTAGGTATGCTAAATTCCTTAAGGAATTATGCACATCTAAGAAAAGATATAAAGGGAATGAAACTGTCAAAGTGGGTGAAAATGTATCTGTAGTGTTACAGAAAAGATTACCTCAAAAATGTAAGGATTCGGGTGTTTGCCCTTAAACTAATATATGTTGCCTAATGTCTCTTGTATTTTGCTAAGGCATATATTGTAAGGATCTTTCAAATGTGATGTTCCATCATTAGATCTACAAGTCAGTTGTTTCTTGAAGTGTATGAACTTCACTCATCTACGAACATCATCAACATGAATTTTGTATCAAAATGGTTCCAAGCAGGGAATTTCAACATTTTTTTAGGATGCTCAATGGTCGTATTATTTTCTACAGGTTCTTGTTCATTATCCTCGAGTTTATGTTCATCATTCATGGTTGGTTGTTTATTATTTTCTGAAGTAGCCATCTAAACCTACAAAAAAACACAATTTGTAACATCAAAACAAAGTTTGAACATCAAAATAAAGTCTGCACTCTGCACATCAACATTAAGGTGTAAAATTCTGTGAATTTTTATTTGGAAAATCATAAACACCTATTTTAAATGATGTATTAAGCACAATCTGCACAATAACATTAATTATAAACAAAAATTCAGCATCATCATCCAAAATCATAAACATACAAAGGTTGAACAGAAGATTAGTTGATCACTAACTTGTAGATAAGTAAAATTAAACAGATGACTTTATGAAAAGTCAATCCTAAATTCGTAATGACAAAGAAAAATTAAACGAGATGGAGAATGATGACTTATGAACCAGTATTCAGACAATAACTCAATAAGTCAATCACTACTCACAGTTCACTGACCTGTTTTCGTGTTAGTCTAATGATAGGGAATTTGGGATTAAACAATGATGAATGATGATTGATGAACGACAATCGACTACTCGATACGTCACACCTGCGAAGTGCAAACAAAAGCGAGAAATCTAGTTGCGATAGGAAATTATTGAATTCGAGATTAGGGTTCTGGGGAGTTGACTCATTGCATCATCGCACGTGCACAGTGAACACCGCCAAATCCCAAGCCATATTGTATCATACATATTGAAAATTTCATATTGGGTCAACCTTGGTCATGGGTATAATTTAGTTAAAATCTTTAATATTTATATTTTTAGGATATAATATGTATCAATACTCGATGTATAATGTAATATACTAATACTAACATGTGGGTATAATATAATTGAGGCGGGTCGGGTTGGGGAATAGCATACACGGCCCCGATCCCATCCCCACTTTTTGTCATACGAGGATCCCCGACCCCATATCCGCTACTCGGTTTTGTGGGGAATATCCATCCACGGTCGGGACGAATTAACCGGTCCCCCAACGGATCCGGGTCATATTGTCATCCCTATATGTTATCCATGGTCTAGCTTAATTTTATTGAACGGTATTCATAATTCATAATCATTATATAAAAATAGAAGTTGCTAAGCGAGTTTGAGCAAAACTGTAAGGCTCAAAACCCATATATTAATAAAAGGCCCAACTCGGAAGCCCTAAAGCAAAGAAATTTCTTAGGTCACCGCCTCGTATACGCGTTTTCACACCGTATATTTGAATTGTCAAGCAACATTATTTGAGGGCAAAAAAAGAAATCGATTTGGGGGCGGCTGTTGTTGAAGGATAAGGTTGCTAGGCTGTTCGAATCTAGATCAATATTCGCCGTCGATTTCATTTTACCACCATCGTTGTTCATCGGAGTCTGAAGAATCGTGTTCCGGTAAGAAATATCATCGCCTTTGATTGATTTTCGGCCTCAAAAAACAAAATCATAATTTGAGGTTCGAAAGACGACGATCGTCACCGATTTGACTGTCTAATTTCATACATCGCATAATCAATTTGACAGATCTGCTATATTCACATTGATTTCTGATATTCGGTTTCCTTGTATTTTCTGTGTTGAATCGAACAATATCCCGTTGCTTTCTGTTTGGGATTTTGTTCGGGGTTACGAATTAGGGATTCTCGTTACAAATTTTGTTTTCAAAAGGAAAAGCGATTGAATTTGTTGAATTTGGGGGCTGTAGCCTAGCCGGATATTTAGATCTCCGCTAGGGTTTCATATTTTTATCTCTTTGTTCTGTTATTTGGTTGCTTAAAATCAGTTGTTGGTGTTGCTAATTATGGCGGCAGGACGACAGATCTCGAGGAAAAGCTACTCGAGTCGTTCCGAGGAAGAAACTCTTTCTTATAACAATCGATCTAATCACAGAACTTTTGTTAGCGATCATGATCAAAGAAGACATCGATACGTTGATGGTGATTATGACAGGGACTATCATCGCACGTCTTCACAACCAATTCATCAAGGGTTGGAAAACAGAAACAAAGCAGATGATGTTTCTGGAAACGACTCAAGAAGATCTGACGCTACCAAGAAAAGAAAATTCTCGCCTATTGTCTGGGATAGAGCTGAGAAGCAGGTGAAGATATCCTCCAAGAACAGAATCCTTCCTACCAAAACTGTTCCCTCTCAATCTCCTCCATCCAAATCAGTCAATGACTTCGGGAAGTTTCAAGATATTATTGCAGACACGAAGATCGAAATTTCTCCTGTTGAATCTCTTGTATCCAATCTTTCAGATGAATTGGGAGTATCAAGAGTATCAAGCTCATTGGCTACAAACACACCTGAAGAACATGATCAAGAACCTGAGCACGAAGATGGAGAATATGTGGAGGAACGAAACTTATCCAAATCAAAGTGGGCTTTCAAAGACTCCCCACAAATGGCATCAAACACCAACAATTCAAGTCCCGAAAGTGGGGAATTTAAGCAAGAACACATTGAAGACACAATCGAGCATATGTCATGTTTATCTGATGAAGAAGATGAACAGTCCAAATCTCTTGATGATGATGAAGATGATGATGAAAGAATCGAATCCCCTGTAAGCATGATGCCATCTTGTAGAAACGTGTTCGAGTATGAAAGACTCGGGAAGATAAGTGAAGGCACATACGGTGTTGTATACAAAGCCAGAGACAAAAAAACCGGAGAAATAGTCGCATTAAAGAAAGTAAAAATGGGGAAAGAGCGTGAAGGTTTCCCTGTAACAGCATTACGGGAGATCACAATTCTCGGATCTTTCCAACACCCATCAGTTGTAAAAATGAAAGAAGTAGTTACAGACGATTTCAATGGCGTCTACATGGTTATGGAATACATAGATCACGAACTCAAAGGCTACATGGAAAAGACAAAGCAACCATTCAGTCAAAGTGAAGTGAAACGCCTCATGATCCAGCTTCTTCAAGGGTTAGCTTTTCTTCATGAGAATTGGGTGATTCATAGAGATTTGAAGACATCAAACTTGCTTTTGGACAACAATGGTGATTTAAAGATTTGTGATTTTGGTATGTCTAGACAATACGGGAGTCCAGTGAAGCCATATACCGCATTGGTAGTAACACTTTGGTACAGGGCGCCTGAGGTTTTGTTGGGGATGAAAAATTACACAACTGCCATTGACATGTGGTCTGTGGGTTGTATAATGGGGGAGTTGTTGTCAAAGAAGCCGCTTTTTGATGGCAATAGGGAGATTGAGCAGATTGATAAGATTTTCAAGACACTTGGGACACCAAATGAAAAGATATGGCCCGGGTATTCAAAATTGCCAGGGGTAAAACCGTCTTTTGTGAAGCAGAATGGTAATAGCTTGAGGAAGAGGTTTCCTGGAGCTAGTTTTATGGGGACACCTGTGCTTACAGAGATGGGGTTTGATTTGTTGAATAGGTTTTTGACTTATGATCCGGACAAGAGGATTACTGCTGAAGAAGCGCTTAATCATGGGTGGTTTCGTGAGAGTCCTCTTCCTGCTGAATGTGTCAGGATTTGTAAATAGGGTTTTTTACATGTTTGTTGTTTTAGGTGTAATGTATAATGTTTGACTTGATATGCTCAACTATTAATGCATTTGATGGTTTTACACCAACTTAACTCTTTTATAAATGTGCTCTAAGTTTTAGTTTTTATGGTGATTTTTCTCTAATTTAATTGTTGCACCACTTTACAAAAAATCTGTTTTAATCTTTCTACAACTTTGTAATGTTTTTTTATGTTTTTACATCGTTTCGTTGCAACGTCATTTTTATATGTTTTCTTTTTAACTTGGTTTTGAATTGTTTTCATAATGCCTTTAATTTCATGTTTTACCACATTTATTGACAATTTCGTTTTTACAATATCTTTTTCCTTGCAGAGGAACTTCCACAAACGTAGGTGGGTAATACAAGATTAAGATGATGAAGAAGAAAAGAGGTGGGTAATAAAAATAACAATGGAAACAAAAACCAAGGGTAAAAAGGAAGGTTGAAGGTAATTTTACACCAAAGTACCAACAATTGACAAAAAGCGTGACAAAAAAACTCCAAGGACAATGAACTTTAAAATTGAAAAACTGGACATTACACAACAATTAATGCTTTACATTTCAATTATATAAAACATAATTTGTTGTATATGGCTAAAAAATGTTGTGTAGGGATCATCATCCTTTCCAAAAACAATATCTAATCATAACAGACTACCCAAATAATAATAATAATTAGGGTCCTGATAATAATATTAGCAATAACAATATCTAATCATAACAGATTATGCCCATTATCCAAGGTACAACTTTGCTTTTACTAGATATAACCTTATAACCTAAAATATATTTTCAGTTTATATGATTACATATAATCCTTATCAAGTAGCACACCAACAAAAATAAGTCTGCTGCTCCGTTGTTAGTTGTTGCTTTGCTCATACCATGTTAGAGAGTGAAGATGCATGAAGAAGAGTCGACATAGATCATGTCTACCTGAGTGTGATAGTAATGGTCTTACCAAGCACAAAGAAGATCAACGACAGCTCAATGAAAAAGATGGTGTTAATCAGCATTCGATCAATGATCCATCCAAAAACAGTAAATCCACCCATGTTTGATTGTACATACGCCACTACAACACAACATAATAAAATTCATTATCAAAAAAAGAAGAATAAAAACCAAGAATTGTCACCACATAGGTTACCAAATGATTGTCTTTTGTGATATGATGAAGTAGAAGAAGCGAACTGGTTATGAACAGAAAATGGCACAAAATCCCCTGATTCCAGCTCAGTCTGTGAACTACCATTAGCCTCCAAGTTGTTATCGATTAATATTTCAGATTGAGAAGAATCATTTGAGTCGCATGTCACTAGTGCATGCCATTTACAAGCAACAGATCCAAGTGCTTGAGCTCTGTGTGAAATTTTTGCAGCTGCAGATAAACAAAGAACGATTCCTACAAGCTGAAGAATCGATAATACCTGCATATATTTCATTCAGAGATGTAAGAACTAGATCTAGAATTGTAGAATGTAGACCCAAGTTTGGAAATAAGTATCTTTAGCTTACAGCAAAGTCGCCTGTGTTTATGAAGTTTATGATTCCTTGGTTTTCAGTTGTCTGTAAGAGAGCTGAGATTTGACTTCCTGTAACAACCAAGAACTCGAGAAGAAGAAACGCTCGAAACCTGTGGCTAATTTTGGATAAATAATGGAGGAGACGCATATGCTCTTCGATATAAACAGAAACATCCAAATCTCGTTCTAGAATGTTGCTGTAGTTTTCAATTCGTACCACTTGTAAATTGCCAACCAAATTGAACAAAGCGGTGCCTGATAAGAAGACTACGGCGGAGTATGACCAGGTTACTAGGGAGACTAACAGATACGCAGCAGATAACCACCATGAATCATGATGCAGATAAACAACGCAAGTGATCTCACGAGCAGTCTTCAGTAAAAAACATACCGATAACCACAAAGCAAGCCCTCGGAAAAAACCCTAACGAATCAGAGCCAATGACAGAGAGATGTTCTTAGCACAGTTCACGTATAAAGTATAAACTTAACAGATTTACGGAGATAGGAAAAGCTCGAGCTTACGTAGATCTTCTGGATGTAGAGTTGCCGATAAAGAACAGCGTATCCATCGTAATGATCAACGAAGAGAAGCTTCCTGACACCGTATTTCCTCAAATTATGAGAAACACAGAGCAGAGAAATGGCGGCAACGATGGCCTGAGAAACGAGAATCTCAAGCTCAAACCTCCTGATTTGGTACTTGTAGCAGTCGGTGCAGAAGGAGTAGACGATCAAGAGCACCGGCGCCGCCAGACCGACAACAAAGAAGACGATCCACGAGACGGCTGAGCTAAGAGGAGAGTACTGACAGAAACCGAAAAATCCGAGGAACGATTCGAGTTTTTGCAAGGCTAGTTCCAGCTGAGCATCGTCGGCGTCAATGAGAGGTGCTTCAAGCGACGAGCTGCTTCCAGGTCCCGACGGAGGCACCGCCATGATTGCGCGTGCGTGAGAATGCAAGTGGAGGGAGCGGGGAGTTTTTTCTATATTGGGAAGGGATTTGTCAAAGAGAAGTAAGACCATGGTGGAAAAAGTGAGAAACTACTAAAATGGTCCCTTGACTATCTTCAAATTTCAACATTCACCGTCTGATACCCTTTTAGTGCATTTTGATCGCTACAGCTTTGTTTTTTTCTCCTGGAAAAGTAGAAATAATAAGAGAAAATTATTTTGTATGGTAATGAATATAATTTAGTACATAGTAATTTTTATTTTTTATATATGATTTACTATTAAAATCACTTGAGCTATTCAAAATCTACAATTTTAACCGGATTTTATTGGTTAATAATTTTTTTTTATACATAATTTACCATTAATTTTTTTTATATACGATTTACCATTAAGTTATGTCTCACCCATCTTCTCCATCCAACACCACCCACACCTACCACTTTCATCCACCTCCTACCAACACCACCCATCTCTAACAACAAATACTGCCTTCTATCAGCTTTTTATCAGGACATTTGCAACCACAACCAGTCATCTTTACCATTCACCGTCACCACCAACTAAGCTAAAATCCTTGAATGGATGTGCTATTGGTGTCACACGGTTCAAGAAGAAAGGGGCAAGAGAGTGATGTAGGTGTATAGGGCTTTCACAAAGTAGCAGGAAAGGGATAGGACCAAGGAAATTATGAACGACGACATGAGTAAGGGGAGGGGTAGGGGCATTTTCACCGAAGAGGAGAGTGAGGAGATTGTATGTTTGCAATGTTTAAAAAATGAACATGTAAATGGTGTGACCTTTCTTCTTTTAAATTGTATCGGAGAAGATGACCAAAAAATTGATGATGACTGAAAAAGATGAAAGTGACTAAATATATAGAAAAGTTAACTTGATGGTAAATTGTGTATAAAAATGTTAGTTAATGGTATATCTTGATCTACAAATGTGAGTTTGATGGTGTTTTTTTTGAATAGATGAATGAGTTTAATGGTAAATAGTGTACAAAACGACTTCAACAAATATACTACAAAGTTGTTTTGTATCGGTATTAATTTAAGTGTAAAGTTAGCTGGAATAACAAGTCGATAATTTAAGAAGCATCTAATCTAATAGTAATAAGATATAGTTAAAAAAATTTAAAATGAATTATATTTTCTATCTTTAAGTATAGTTGATTTAGGGGGTGTTTGTTTGACCTCTTAATCATCCCATAAAGAGGTTGACTCTGGATCATTCAAATTCAGAGCGTTTGGTTGAAAGTTTTTTAGCCTCTTAATCAACCAGATATTAAAAAAAAAAGGTCTTATTCGGTCAGATATCATAGGGAGTCTGGATGAAAGATTTTCCTTTGATGCCCTTACCCTAAAATCGCCCGCCTCTTTTTTTTTCTTCCTTCTTCTACTTCAGCGAACAACAAAAAGGTCCCTCCACAGATTTCAGCTTGCAATCGGACGCTTCCCTCCTCGCCTCCACCTGCGCCGATTCTCCTCCACCTGCGCCGCCTCCCTCCTCGACGCCTCCCTCCTCGCCGCCTCGTCCCCATCGCTGGTACGTTTCCAACTTCACTGGAGCGATTATTTTTTCTTCCTTATTCACTGGAGCGATTTTTAAATATTTCTTCTCTCTTAAATTTGTTTCTGGAAACGAATGGCAGCAATGTGTTGTGTTATTGTCATGTTCTTGCTGTCTTGCTATGTTGGCTGATCAATTTGTTTTTGGGTGAACGATTTGTGTGAAATCTAATTGAGTTTTAAGCATATTGTTGTGGTTTTGGTTTGTTCTTGCTGATTTCTTGTTGATATGTAATTAAGGGGCTGTTTGTTGATTTGTGTGAAGTCTGAATTTTGTGCCATATGTGTTCTTGCTGAGTTGCTGCTATGATTTTGCTTGATTTTTCTGTAATGTTGCTGGATTTTGTTGCTGAAATATGTTCTTGCTGAATTTTGAATAATAGACATGGCACAAATGGCACAAAAAAGGCCTAGAATTAATTGGAAACAGATAGAAGGTGTTGAAAAAGCATTTCTTGAAGCTTGTATTCAAGAAATTACGACTTACGGGCGTGAAGGGAGTAGTTTGAAAGCAAGCTCATGGAAGAATGTAGCTGAAAGATTGAAAACAGAATACAATTTTGTAGTTGATCAAAAACAGATGAAAAATCGATATGACTATCTAAAAGCAAAATTTGGTGCTTGGTTGAAATTAAAAAACAAAACAGGCAACGTTTATAACCCTATAACTAACACGTTTAACATGGAAGAAGACGAATGGCAACCAGAGATTAAGGTATTGTGAAAGTGCCGATCTTAGAAAAGTTTGGTTATTTCTTCCGACGGAAGCTTGTGAGATGTGGTTAAAGAACGCCGGATCAAAGTATGGCTTGATGTGATGTTTTCTTAGGATTTTATTTGATGTGTGTCATTATGGATTTAAAATGTTGAACTTTTTTAGAATTTTATTTGATGTGTGTCGTTATGGATGTAAAATGTTGAACTTTTTTAGGATTTTATTTGATGTGTGTCGTTATGGATTTAAAATGTTGAACTTTTTTAGGATCTTATTTGATGTGTGTCGTTATGGATTTAAAATGTTGAATTTTATATGTTGTTTGACCTTATGTTCTTAAAATGTTGAATTTTATATATTGTTTGACATTATGTTTTTATAATGTTGAATTTTAAATGTTGTTTGACAGGTGATTTATGGATACCGATGATGATACTGTGTATTTCATGTTGCTTTCTTGGTATTGGATGTTTTTAGCTTCGACAAGAATAGAAAGGATAAGCGACTTGAATTCGACATTGACCGGTCATGCATTTACGCAAGAATTGTTGCATGGATCTTCTTTACAATGTCATGAGTTGATGCGTCTTTCACGAGAAGCATATGTACTACTATGCAACCATTTTAAACAAAAAAATTGGTTGCAAAGTAGTCGGTCAATAACTGTTGAAGAAAAGTTAGCTATGTTTTTAACAGTTATCGGACACAATGAGCGGTTTCGAATGGTTAAGCGTAGATTTCAACATTCAACAGAAACAATTCATAGGTGTTTTCATGAGGTTCTAAATGCGATGATGAATTTTGCAAGAGAAATTATTGTGCCAACATCTTCTTATGCAACAGTAAACACATCAGGACGACATAGAAGGTTGAAAGAAATATTTCCGGGAGCGATAGGTGCATTAGATGGAACTCTTGTACATGCAGTCGTGCCCGCCGATCAACAAACTCGTTATAGGGGAAGAGGAAAAGGTGAATGCTATCAAAATGTTATTGGAATTTGTAATTTTGATATGATATTCACGTTTGTATGGGCCGGTTAGGAGGGCATAGCACATGATTCACGAGTTCTAAAAGAAGTTGTATTTAATCCAACTTCCGGCTTTCCATTTCCTCCACCAGGTTTGCAATCTATTTTTTTAAAACTTTGATTATTAAATACATTATCTATTTTTCATATAACAATTGCAAAATTCACATTTATAGACAAATATTACCTTTGTGATTCCGCATACACCAACACTCGTGGATTTATGGCTCCCTACCGCAATACGAGGTACTGGTTATCCGATTTCCGAAGACAACGTGCATTAACCAAGGAGGAAAAATTCAACCATGCTCATGCACAACTCAGAAATGTTATTGAGCGCGCTTATGAAGTTTTGAAGGCGAGATTTCCAATCCTAAAACAAATGGCTCCTTATCCTTTTCCAATACAAAGAGACATAGTGCTTGCTTGTTTTGCAGTCCATAATTTTATAAGGAAATGTAATATTCGTGATCAATTATTTATGGACTTTGAAGAGGACATTATGTTTACTGTTGACGTAGGTGGAGGAAGTGATGACCAAAGCGTACATGACATTCAGTGGGGTAACCAAGACAATGAATATATGGCTAATTTGCGTAACCAAATTGCTAATCAATTACTTTAAAGTTGTATGTTGAGGATTATGTTTAATTTGGATGTTATATGATGTTTAATTTGGATGTTATATAAATTTTAATTTGTATTTTGTTTTATGTTTAATTTGAATTTTATATGAAGTTTTGTATTTTATTTATAATTATTTACAAATTCAGTATCATTCAGCACAGTCGTTAAGTCCAACCAAATAGTAACAAATAGCTCAGAAGGTTAAATTGATCATTTTCACCATTAAGAGATAGACATTCAGATGTCTGACCAAACATCAAATTATCATTCAGATACAGATTCATACAGAGCCTCTACATCATCCAGACATCTGTATCATCCAGATATGAATAATCTAGATGCTACCAAACAGCCCCTTATAGTAATTTTCATTCCTTTTTTTTTAGCTTCTAACGATTTTGGTCCTTTTTTTCATGCGCTTTAAATAGTGTAAGTATTTCAGAGGCGGACCTAGGGTGGAGACAATATGGCAGTTGCTTCCATTGTTGTTTTTTTGTTTTTTTTTTTTCGAAATAGCTATAAAACTTTAGACATAATACGCACTTTCATAGATATATAATATTTCCTCTTGAAATTTCAACAAAAAGTTGAACCAATCAAGTTTGCCTAAATGATGGAAAACAATTTAGCCTCTAAAAAAGATAACGAGGTAAACAAAAGAATTTTAGAACGTAAAAAAAGAAAAGAAACGGGCAACACCCGAAAAGCATATCTAAAGGGAAACAGAAAGCTATTACTGCATAAACTCGCAGGTTTGTTTTATTGAAGAAAATATAACTCAAAACTTCAATCGATGATCTAGATTACAAGAACCTATTGACTATATATACTAAACAAAACTAATTAGTATACAATTAGGATTCCTAAAAGTAATCTAAAACTTTCCTTATAGAGAATCCTTATGGCTCAAGGAAATTCTCTGGAACTTGGACAACACTCCAAGTAATTTGCATCTGGACCGGATCATGCCTACTAGCCACTTTCCGGACTCGGGTATTCACTAACAATCACCCCCTGAATTTCTGAGTCGAGGGTAATTCTTGCACGCCAAGCAACGCTCTCATCTCTGCGAACCTTATTCGAGCTAAGGCCTTCGTAAGTGGATCTGCTCGTTGCTTATCTCCCGAAACATGCTCAACAATCACTTGCTCGTTTTCCACACGCTCTCGAATAAAGTGGAATCGAGTGTGAATGTGTTTGCTTCTTCCATGAAAGACAGGATTCTTTGACAATGCAATTGCTGATTTGTTGTCTATGCGAATCAGTACCTTCTGTTTCTTCATTCTTGTCAACTCAGCTAACAACTCCCTTAACCAAACTGCCTGACACGCAGGTGTTGTAGCTGCCATGAACTCAGATTCACATGAGGACAAAGCTACTGTATCTTGCTTCTGGGAGCACCAAGTGATAGGAGAGTCACCAAGGTAGAAAACATGCTCTGTTGTACTTCTACCATCATCAACATCAACATTATGACCGCTATCACTGTAACCTATCAAGCTCATATTTTTACTTCGTTTGTATACAATCCCAAAAGATGGTGTACCATGCAACTAACGAAGAATTTGCTTAATAGCGCGTGCATGAGATTCTCTTGGACTTTGCATATAACGGCTAACGACTCCAACCGAATATGCTAAATCCGGACGAGTGTGTAAGAGATATCGTAAACAACCTACTATTTTTCGATAATAGGTAGCTTCAACTTTTGGTTCATCTTCAGCTATTGACAACTTTAGTCCTGGCTCCATCGGACATTGAGTTGCATTACACTCTTGCATGCCTGCCTCTTTTAGAATCTTCATAGCATAACTTTCTTGCTTCACCTTTACACAACCATTTTCTTGCAATACTTCAATACCCAAGTAGCAAGTTAGTTCACCAAGGTCCGACATTTCAAACTGGAATGCCACTAGTCTCTTGAATTGGTTTATAAACTCTAAGCTTGTTCCCGTCACGAACAAATCATCTACATAAACCGCAACTATTATGTATTCTCCATTTGCAACCTTTCTATAAACCACATTTTCTGGCATGCACCGTTTAAAACCCATATTCTTCAACGTGTTATTAAGCTTCAAATTCCATGCACGTGGAGATTGTCGAAGACCGTATAACGCTTTTGCCAATTTGTAGACTTTTGTTTCTTCACCTTGCTTCACGAAACCTTCTGGTTGGCACACGCACACTTCTTCCTTTAAATCTCCATATAAAAATGCAGTTTTTACGTCTAAGTGATGAATCTTCCATCCGTTCCCGGCCGCGAGAGCAATCAATAATCTTATTGTCTCGAGTCGAGCTACTGGCGCGAATACTTCATCAAAATCAATGTCTTGCTCTTGTACATAGCCTTTTGCTACTAGACGCGCTTTGTACCTTGTAATCGATCCATTCGTATTTCTTTTAATTTTATACAACCATATTAACCCAATAGGTTTAGCATCTTTAGACGGAGGAACTAATTTCCAAGTATTATTCTTCTCGATGGAGTTAATTTCGGCCTTCATTGCATCGAGCCAATTCTTGTTCACTTTGGCTTCCTTAAAGTTCTTTGGTTCTTCATCGAATGACAACATTAAATGATCCACATCTAGCTCGTAGTCATTTAATCTTCTTGGCAGCACTGAAGTTCGAGTGGACTGCCGAAGTGGGACAAAACTTGCATCATTATTTTGATCATCAACAGGTTGCGATGGGCTGCTTTCATCATTATATGTGTCATTGGTTTGGTCGGTTTGGGCCGGATCAGAGAATTGTTCGGTTTCTGTTGCAGTTGGGATCGAACCACCATTATCGTGGGTTGCTTGACCATTACTCCACAAGACCGTAAATGTACCCGGTCCATTTCCGTCTTGATTTTTGGGTTCATTATTCCATTGCCATGTCTTATTTTCATCACAAATTACATGGGCACTAATAATAATTTTATTTTCTCGCGGATTATATAACCGAGATCCTCCTGAATTAGGTTCCTTTCCAAAATATACCAACGGTCGTGACCTATCATCAAGCTTCTTCAAATGTTTTGAGACTACTCATATGCAACACAACCAAATACTTTCTAGTCTTCAAGATTTGTTTTCACCATAAAATTTCTCGAATGGTGTAGCACCTATCAATGCTCGAGTAGGTGTACGATTTATGATAAACGTTGCATGTCGTACCGCTTCGCCCCAAAAGTGGTTTGGAATATCTTTTGCTTTCATTAGGCACCGTGTCATCTCGAGTAGCGTCCGATTTCTCCGTTCGACTATACCGTGTTGTTGAGGTGCATAAGGAGCCGTCAACATACGTGAAATACCTTCTTCATCACAAAAACGGTTCAACTCGGTTGATGTGAATTCTCCACCTCTATCCGTATGGAAAGTCTTGATCTCTTTACCAATTCGTTTTTCAATTGATATCTTGAATCGTTTAATAATTCCGGATGCATCGCTTTTGTGCTTCAAAAGAAAAGACCACATATATGTAGAATAATCATCAATAAGAACTAAAATATAAATATTACCCGCTTGGGTGGGGGGATCAACCGGTCCACAAATATCTCCATGCACCATCTCGAGAATTTTTGTAGCTCTATAATTAGCTTTCTTTGCAAACGATTGCTTTGTTTGTTTTCCAACCATGCAAGATTCACAAAGTTGGTCTTGATGTTGGATTGCCGGTACCCCTATAGCTAGCTTGTGCATCAAGTTTATCGCGCCAAAATTAATGTGACCAAGTCGCGCGTGCCATAACCAAGCTTGCTCATTAAACTTGGCTTGTAAGCAATGTGTTTTTCCAACTTTTAACTTTATTTTGTAGAGTCGGTTTGCACTTCTCGGGACTTTCATAAGTAATCTTCCGTCTCCATCTCGCATGGTTAGGAAATCACCTCGCATCCGAATATCACAACCGGCTATTGTAGACTGCCCGAGGCTAATAACATTGCTACGAAGTGATGGGATATAATAAATATCTTTCATTAATTTTTGCTCACCGCTTTTCCCTTCGAACAAAATTGACCCTTTTCCTTTAATGCTAACACACGATCCATCTCCAAATCTCACTTTACCCGTTATGTTTTTATTTAATTCAGAAAAATAAGAGTAGTTTCCGGTCATGTGGTTGCTCGCACCATTATCTAAGTACCAAATTCCGTCTTCATCGGCATTTGCTTTAACTTTTGGAGGGATGTATTTGTCTTCATTCAAGAACACCGTTTATTGAATTGTATTCATCATAAAGAACGTCCCTTCTTCATGATATGTATCTCCTTCGTGTGTCTGATTAAGGTTAGCCTCATGATTTTTTATTTGGTCGGGGCATCTTGAAGCAAAGTGGCCATACTTGTCACACCGGTAACATTGAATATTTGAGAGGTCTCTTTGCTCGCGTTGTTTTCCTTTTTGCTTTTGATCGTCACGATTTTTAGAGGATTCCGAGTGACCATGATTTTGGGTGTTACCTCGACCACGTCCACCGCCACGTCCACCACCACGTCCTTTTCCTCGATTATTTGAACCCCGACCTCTACCTCTTGATGAATCGGTGTTTCTGTTGGACGATTCAGTTTTGGAATAAAGTAATTTATTTTGAGAATCGATTACTTTGTTTTCACCCTTGATTCTTTCTTCATAAGCTTTTAAGCGACCAACCATGTCTTCAAAGCCAATCGTTTTAAGGTCCAAAACTTGTTCAAGGGCTGCAACAATGTGGACAAATCTTCTAGGGAGGCTCGTAAGAAACTTCTTCGCAAGCTTCTGTTCGGTCATGACCTCTCCTAGTGAAGCTGATTTTGAGGCAATTCTGGATAACTTTGCAGCGAACTCGTCTGTTGTACTATTATCACTCATCTTTAGATTTTCAAATTCCGTGATTAGAGTTTGGAGTCGGGCTTCCTTCACACGATCAGCTCCTAAGTTACG